GCAAACCGATTTTGTTGAAAATTCCAATAACATGATCTCTATGGCGAATAGAGCAAACATAACTTTTGAGTTTTGGTGATCTCCAAAAACCTGAAGATGATTGCAAATAAATGCAAGTCTCTACTGTAATTACAGTCTTGACTCTCCAAGGATGAAAGAGGACCCTGAGCCTCTGTTAGGGACTTGCATGATTTGGATGAGAGTGTTGTGAGAAGGTCCATGCGTTCAAAGAGAAGATCTTCATGGGCAAATGATTATAATTAGAGTATTATTAGTATTTTATTCAATATAGAATAGTATTAGAAATAGTAGTCAATAAAGAATTAGATTTTATCATTACGCAAGAGTCTTATATAAGCCTAAAAGAACTTTATGTTCAAAATAATAAAATTGATAAACTTCTTCTTCAACCTTCGTTCTTGGAGGCCCTGTTCCTCGTATAAACAGAATCTCTTTTCTCCCTATCATTCAGAATATCTTCTTCCCTAACAGCCTCCTGGGAATTCTGGAAGAAATTTTTTTTGGGTGTATACTAAATGACAATGCTGATCATGCAAACACCAATAATGGAACCCCGTAACTAGCAATAAACCTCCCAAGTCCCAACCAGTTATGAATAATAACATCACCCATCTTGCAAACATGTATAATATTAATATGTAACAGATTGAGTTGAAACTGTTATGTTAGTTACCGCATTTTCTTATCATTCGTTTGTATTAACTGGGAAGGAAAACCGATGCAGTAAAATATCCAATAGACGGACTTGAAAAACCTGTTCCATATTGCCATCATCTCGCCTTTCTGCATTCTGCTCGTAATATGCAATGAATTTCAAATTTTCCGATCTAAATAATAAATTGAAATCGTAGAAAAACAGAAAATTATTAAGAACAAAGAGACCCAGTTCTTGCTTCCATTCTTGATAAATCCATTGCTCATTTTCAACGCAACCAGAAAAAAAGAAAGAATTAATCAAAATGATATTGAAAATAAAATCATATCTTTGATTCAACATTACAATCAAACTGATAATTATTGAACGGAAGTTATAGACTTTAACTTAGGCTATACAACAGTAACTATTTATTGGTAAGAATAAGATGATGAACAGTGCGTTGAGAGAGATCTCCGAATCTAGTTTTATGAAACAATATGTTGCCACTTGATTTTGGACGCTAACGACTCGCACGTACAAAGTGTTAAGAGGGTCTTAGAAATTACATGTGATGGATCCATGAGATTTGAATATAGAGCTAAGATTATATATGTTGTAGAAAACATAAATAATAGGCTAACAAGAGAGGTTTTTATAGTGGTTCGGATGCTCAAACAAGTGACTCCTACATCCACTGTTATTTTATTGATCTCTGACTATTTCTATGATATTGTCCGTAAGGCATACAAAGATGAAGGAATACAGTGTTTACAGAGAGAAATAATTGAGCTCGTATCTATGTCTAGCTCTCATATACCCAGCCTCCCTCTTCGGGAAGAGAAGTGTCAATTTATACACCTAAACACTCAATGTAATGAGTGTTTTGCAAGTTGCCTTGACACATGGAAGACTCTCATCCATTCATTTTTTGAAAGGAGATAGGGTTGGTAAGAATATCTTTGAGGAGATATGGGCTTAGCAGCTAGTACAAAAAGATATTTATTGGGCTGACATAAGCATGACTTTTTAGGCATAAAAAAAGCCCCCCAGTTTTTGGAGTACGTAATCGCACTTTAGAAACTAAGGTCTTTGATCTGAATGGCTGCAATCTCGAACTGAAGAGCTCGAACTATTCCTGGCGCGATCGAGTGCTGAGACCTAGGTGCTAATCGCGATCTGTTAGGAGCTCGACCTGAAAGCAAAACGAGCTCAATCTGAGCAAAACGAGCTCAACTTGAGCGAAACGAGCTCAATCTGTGCAAAACGAGCTCAATTTGAACAAAACGAGCTCAACTTGAGAGCAAAACGAGCTCAACCTGAGCGAAACGAGCTCAACTTGAGTGAAACGAGCTCAACTTGAGCGAAACGAGCTCAATCTGAGCTAAACGAGCTCGACCTCAAAGCATAACGAGCTGACCTAAAAGGTCACAACGAGCTCGACCTGAAAGGTCATAACGAGCTCGACCTGAAAGATCATAATGAGCTCGACCTAAGAGCACAAGAGATCAGCGATCTCGGCGATCTGAACATGCGATTTGAAGCTAAAGATCAGCGATCTGAAGCCGAGGATTAGGACGACCTGTGCGTGCGATCTGCGATCTGGCCACGCAATCGGAGAACTCTGACGAGTGCGATCTGTAATCTGGCCACGCGATCGGAGAACTCTGACGCGTGCTATTTGCGATCTGGCCACGCGATTAGAGAATTCTGACGTGTGTGATCTGCGATTTGGCCACGCGATCGGAGAACTCTGACGTGTGCGATCTGCGATCTGGCCACGCGATTGGAGAATTCTGACGCAGGTTTGAGATTTGAGCACGCCATCAGGGAATTTGGACATAGGTTTGAGAATCAGACCTGCTTGGGCCACCAAACTGTTGACGCTTGATTTTGGAAGCCAACGACTCACACGTGCAAAGTACTAAGAGGGTCTTAGAAATTACACGTGATGGATCCATGGGATTTGAATATGGAGCTGAGATTATATATGTTGCAGAAAGCATAAATAATACGCTAACAAGAGAGGTTTTTATAGTGGTTCGGATACTCAAACAAGCGACTCCTACATTCACTGTTATTTTATTGATCTCTGACTATTTTTATGATATTGCCCGTAAGGCATACAAGGATGAAGAAATACAGTGTTTACAGAGAGAGAATTGAGCTCTTATCTATGCCTAGCTCTCATATGCCCAGCCTCCCTCTTCGGAAAGAGAAGTGCCAATTTATACACCTAAACACTCAATGTAATGAGTGTTTTGCAAGTTGCCTTGACATATGGAAGGCCCTCATCCATTCATTTCTTGAAAGGAGATAGGGTTGGTAAGAATATCTTTGAGGAGATATGTGCTTAGCAGCTAGTACAAAAAGATATTTATTGGGCTAATATAAGCGTGACTTTTTAGACATAACACAATATAACGGTAAAGAGCAATTTGTTGCTCATGATAGGCAGTAAATTAATAAATTGATATTTATGTTTAAGAAATAAGTAATACAATATCTATATCAACAGATACAGCCTTTCACAACTCAGACTTACTGATTTTTAGCAAATCAGTTACAACAAATACAAATACTTATAAGGGAGAACGACATTTTCCCACCCAAGGTTTGGTGAAACGACACTTTCCCACTCATTGTTAGGTTTTGTCATGTTTTTCGTTAATATTTTATTAAAAATATGAAAATACCCTTAAATATTTGACTTTATAGATTTTTTATTATTTTTTAATTAACCAAAAAGTTAAAAAAGAAAAAAATTGTTAACTTTACTTAAAAAGTTAAAAGTAATGCTATAGAATTATTTAAAGTTAAACGACCTTAATATTTATTTATTTATGATGTCATCAATATCTCATCACTATTATTTAATAATCTACTAAATTTATAATGTTTTTCATAATATAATTTTTTTTTGTTTTTACTAATTAACATAGAAAATCAATATTCCTAATTAATTAAATAAACAAAAGAAAAAAGATATATTTATACTTCAACTAATAAATAATTAAATAAAGACTTTGACTTAAGTAAATTTTAATTTATAATAAACTAATTAAAAAATAAACTATTTAAGGGTATTTTCATCTTTTTAATCAAATATTAACAGAACCTGATAAAGGGTGGAAAAGTGTCTTGAAACTTGAATGGTGAGAAAGGGTCGTTTCGCCAAACCTTGGGTGGAAAAATATCGTTCTCCCTAATTATAATAAGATAGTTGGAATTGAATTTGAAGGTCTATAAATTTGAAACCTATGTGCATTACTCATTTCTAAGCCGGAGGTGTGGTCCAGTTAATAATTAGACTTCAAGTAGGGTGAACTTTACTTGCAATGTTAAGGTTTTTAACCACATGGAAGCACCTTGTGGTTTACGGATATTTACCCAAAACCTCAATCGAAATTAGTCTCAAAGAAAAAAAAAAAAAAAAAAAAAAAATGGGACTTTCTATATTTTATGTGGTTGGATTGGATATCCATATGGCCCGCATAGAATGCCGAAGAATAAAAAAATAAACATTCATCCACAGGGTTTAATTAGTTAAACAATCCCAACTATCAATAATACATTATATTAAAGATAAAGGAGAATTTTGTTTTTTTAAGAGAGTGCTCGGGCTAGTTATGGACACCTCAACTAATCTTTCGGAACCCTGAAACTAAGGACCGAATAAAAACTTCACTGACTATCCTTATTAATAATCGATGAGGGACTTGAACTCAAGACCTCTTGAATAATACATTCAAGAAAACTTATTAAACCCCTCGGTCACTTAGAAATAATTAAAGATAAAATAATAATAATTTAAAAAAAAAAAAAAAAACAAGGGACATAAGGGCATCAAATCATTAATTGAAAATTAATTTTGGAAATATAGGTAGGGCTCATCAGCCCTCAATCCATTAATCTAGAAACACATAATTAAACTAAAAACAAAATTGAATGAATAAATCGTATCATGTTCAGCCTTCAGCCTTCAAAATACGACTCTCTCCTCTAATTATGTGAAAAATAGGTTTTACATAGGGATAGGATAAGATAAAATAAAACCTTTTCTTTTACAAAACAAAAAATTTATTTCATTAATTCAACTTTTACCATCATAATAAGGAATAGGTACCGTGTTATTAGAATTTAGATGCACACCAAAAGTTTTTCTAATTCCTTCGTGTTTTAAGACAAATATCAACAAAGAAACATGAATGTTCAATCCAATGTCAAGGTAACAAACTCATGAATGTTCCAACTTTGACATCGTACAGCTATCTACATATCAGACTGAACATAATTGTCAAGCGTAAGACATCCCAGGGCAACCAAACATAAAGCTGCACAGGTATTTATGTAACCCCATTTTCCTCATAATCAGCTTTGAACAATTTAGAGAAAAATGTTGAGAGTCTTTTTCTTCATTGCTACAGCAACAAAACTTGCCGGGCAAATATACATTGTAGCTTTTACATGCTGAACGATTTAAAACATTACTGACACATCATATAACTTAACTTACCATCCATCACTGCAAAAGCTTCATCATTTTCAAACGTTCTTCATGTTCTGGATCCAGTTTAGGTGGTGTGTAACTACCATGAAGATCCTCCACAATGTACTCCTGCAATAGTTTCTAAAAAATGAGCCAGTATTGAAGCACCATTTGTCTAGGCAACCTACCCTAGGCAATCAAGTATCTGTATGGAAGGTACAAAAAACAATTTTTTACACGATAGGAGTGAATCAATGATTACCTTTGTAAGCTCTCTTTTGGTAAGAATGTGGTAGTGTCGCTGCCAGATCTTCTGAATAGCCATTGTGGCAGCAAGGAAACCATAGGCTATGCCAAGAATGGCAAAAATGACAACAAAAACAATAACCAGGGCAAAACATGCTTCCATAGATGCAGGAAAACAATCCAAGATACCCCAGCCATAGCAGCAGTTTTGGCAGTTACTCATCCGTGGGTCATTAGTGTTGAGGGAGGAACAATGTAGTATGAGCCCGAAAAATCCAAGCAGCACAAAGAAGGCCATGACCCCTGGTAATATACAAACGGACCATATCAGAAAACATGTGTCTATTGCATGCAAGCACACACAGACACATCAGGAGATTCTACATTTCACCCATTTTACTCCTTGTTCCAGACACCATGCAGGTAGAACGAAGAAAATATGGCACGCAATGACAAAATGGAACAAAAAAATTAGGTTCCATATCAAATATTCCAAACAAGTATTTGATGACAAATATGAAGCATTTCAAACAGTCAATTGAGGCTAAAAATAATGTCTTTCCAATCAAATGTGTGTGTGTGTGTGTGTGTACATATATTACTGAATTTAGAGAAGTTTACCTATACAATAGTAAAACGGAATAGGATGCTTTGACAGGATACGGTCCCAACTATCACTGAATGAATTCCTGAAGGCCCCATCTTTATCCATAAGGTATGCAAAACCACCTACTGCAGCAATCACCTGGAAAATAGACAACACTACTTTTACTTAACAGCAGGCAGAAATTCACTACCAATCTTGAGAAAAGATGAATCTACAGCTCGTTTTCTTTTTGGATATGGTACAAATCAAAACTCATTGAAGGACAATGACGGCTAGGCAGATACACCTAGGACCTAAACAATAATTTAGCAGGAAACAAAAAACCCCCACGTACTCTTCTATTCTTATATTGAAATTCTGTCTCTCAGCTTCCCCTTTTTTGTCTGCTGAGACTTATTTCCTCTCGACTATGGTTGAATGGAAGTTTCATTTCCTAAGTCTCAAATATTGTAAATAAGCTTAAAAATTCATTTACTTGACACCAAAGAAAAAAAAGCAGAATAGAATAAAAAAATAATATGAAATAAACATGAAATCAAAAACAAAATGATCAATATTGCCAGAACCCAAAATTTTGATAAAGCTTAAAAAATGACACAGCAGAGTAACGTGATGCAATCTTGTCTAACATGGTAATGCAGTCAATTCTAGTCATCTTATCAAAAAACCTAAGCTAAATATTCTAAGCCTCAAGCAATGCAATTTTTCTCCTTCCATACCAATTTTCATCAAGTCAACCATGGATTACACCAACCATTATTAGGTAATCACCTTTATGGGCCTCCTATAATTTACTTAAGACTTGAATTAAATCGTATACGTCAATAAATCTAACTCATATCAATAGTTTTAGAAGTAACTTTATTAATTGCTATAGGTTCCCATGCTACAAATACAACTTGAACTCACGGGTTAAAGTATGAGTTCAACAGAGAAAGAACGGATCAGAAAAATTAGACATATACATTAAGCTACTATAAAATTAAGTGAAGGAGATATTTCAGAAGACAGCTGAAACACATTTGTTTGAAAATAAATATAAAAAGCAGTTTCTTTATTTCCTTTAATTATTAGTTTCCCGAAGGGCAAAAATTACTCAAACAAGATTCAGTGCTTAACTAACGAAGAATGGGATCTTTCATGCACCCTTTTACACAATGGAGAGGACAGCAAGATTACTCACAGTCTGTACAGCTAAAAATACAAAGAACACATCCCTTGCCACAAACAGTCTGAATTTTATTTTGCGCCAAGAGTTGTCCTCAAACAATTCAACTTGAAGGTGAAATTGCGCTTTGCAGGTTGTGCAATGCGAAAAAGCAAATCCTTCCTATTAAGCGAAAAGGAGAAGATAGAAGATTAATATTAGACCATCAACAAAAAAAATACCAGCTAAAAACTGTTAAAAGTTCATTTGCATTGCATCATTAAAAAGCTTGAAGAAAAATTGTACTCAACCTTAACTGACCGCCAGTGATCAAGGCAGGAACGGTGAACAAACTGCTGAGTGCCTTTGCACATGCACGGAGATATCAATTCATCCTCTGTGACAATATGTGGAAACCATTAGGCCAAAGAAAAAGCAGATGCACATCCGAGAAGAACTTCCACAAGAAAATACAACAACTATGCACCAGTATACTAAAATGTGTACTTATGACATGGCCAAGAGAAAAGCAAAAAGAAAGAGAAGAAAAATGAAAAGAAATAAACAACTTTTAACAGTCACTTTTCATCTCCAACACAAAGAAGGTGCTTACATTAGAAAATTGGGCTTTAAATCGGTTTGGTTTTGATCACTAATTCACCAACCAAAAATTGTACTAATGTAAAAGTAGAGTTCAACTAAATCCTCCAAACAACACAAAGAACATACAAAACATGATAAAAATTCATATATATTACGTAACTGAGCAAACAAAAATCCCCAAAAATGTTAATTAATGATGAATTTATCATTATCGCAATAGAATTCAAGATTCACCGTCAATGTGACAAACAGTATTGATTGCAGCCAAGTTTTTAAGCTAAAGAAGAGCATAAGGCAGAATCCTATCAAATTACTTCAGATTTTGTATCCAAAATTATAACAATTATCCCCTTTCACGGTAAGCAACAATATAAAAAGTCCAAAATGTCACAAATACAATCACATTTAATTGAAAACTAGAATCTTGATACAAAATTTTCAAATCAATCAGAAAATATAATTATAAAACAGAAGCAATTGCAATCAAATTGATGGGAAACGGAAAAGATTGAATAAAGAACGCATGATCACCTGGTTCGCCATCGCATTCAAGGCAAATACGACAGCAAGGAATGGAGCCATCCTCTAGGTCTTGATTCTCAACGTCTTGATTCACGATCAAACAGGAAGTCTCAATTGAACTAGAACTTGCTGGTTGCTCATGATTCTCCAGCAAAGGATCCACATCGGTAGGGTTCCGTTCATCAACCCTCTCCAGCTGTAATTCCCCTTTCATTGATCGTCCACTTCGAAAACAAAATATAAAACCCTAAAAATTAATGTTACAAAGATGGAAACAGTTTTGATTATTGCAATTATGTGGATATTGTTGGTAATAAACCAAAAACCTGGAAATTGCAGAGAATTACGAAGAATTAGTCAGTGGACTTTTCTTGGAACGTCGTTCATTAGTGATGATCGGCCTCAAATATAGGGGCTCTTACCTAGATGGCGCGCGGGTGCCTGCAGCGCGCATCGTAGCAGAATAGATTTGGGCCCAACAAAAATGGGCCTACTTATCATTTTTATATCACACCGTAATACTTTGTACTACATGAGCCTTACTAGATTTGAGTTTTAGGCCCGAATTGGGTTGGGCCTTGTGGCAAAACCAAGAGAAAATTGGATTCTTAATGAATAATTTTTTAAACACCTCTTTGGTCTTTACAAGTGGTTATCAACTTATCATTATCAATACTACGTTTATAATACAATCTCACAATCCTAACGTAATAGCAGAGTTGATACTGTCACGTTAGCTCCCACTATACCTAAGACACTAAATGACTTTAACTAAACATAAACGATTGTTCTTTTACAAAGAATGATTTTTCCTTATTAAGGAATGATTGTTCCTTGTGAAGAAATAATTATTCCTTCAATAAAGTATGATAATACTTTATAAAGAAATTGTCATACCTTCAATAAGGAACGGAGAAGGTATGACTATACCTTCAATGACCATTCCTTAGAGAGAAAATGTCATTCCTTCCTTATGAAGGAATGACCGTTTCTTAGTTCTAGTCAAAATAATTTTGGGTGTGTTTGGTTCAATATTTCTACCCATATTCCTAATCCTATTCTCCAAATATTGTTTGGCACATTATTTTAGAAATATTACTATATTTTTTTAATTATAGACCCCTTAAGTTCATTAATTTCATAAATACCCCTAAAAAAAGTTTAAAAATTAACAAAAANATACTTTATAAAGAAATGGTCATACCTTCAATAAGGAATGGAGAAGGTATGACTATACCTTCAATGACCATTCCTTAGAGAGAAAATGTCATTCCTTCCTTATGAAGGAATGACCGTTTCTTAGTTCTAGTCAAAATAATTTTGGGTGTGTTTGGTTCAATATTTCTACCCATATTCCTAATCCTATTCTCCAAATATTGTTTGGCACATTATTTTAGAAATATTACTATATTTTTTTAATTATAGACCCCTTAAGTTCATTAATTTCATAAATACCCCTAAAAAAAGTTTAAAAATTAACAAAAATACCCCCATTAACCCATACTTGCTAGATTTCGGCTACCACCGATGATTCCGGCAACCACCGTCGCTGGTAGCCGGAATCTGTAAACAACCTACACCACGACGGCCACTGGCTAGTAGTTCACCGTTTGGCCTTTTCCAGCCAGATCCACAGTGGATCTAGCCGGAAAAGGCCAGATCTAAAGGCCAAAGAAATGGCCGTCATTGACTAAAAACGACGGCCACATGACGACCAAAGATGGATTTCTTTGGCCTTTTCCGGCCGTCGATGGCCACATTTGGCTATAGATTTGGCCTTCTTCGGTCAGATCCGTGGTGGATCTGGCCAGAAAATGCTATACTGATGCGTTACAACACAGATTCGACCGGTCTGTGTCGTAACACAATTTTTCGGCCAGATTCCGATGGTGGTGGCTGAAATCTGGCACTGCGAGTGGTAGGGGTGTTTTTATCATTTTATATGTTGGGGTATGTAATTAAATTAGTAAACCTAGGGTTTTTTTTTATAAATTTTTAAATTTTATCTCGTAATACTCTCATATTCAACTACCCAATATTATTCCCAAAATCTTATCTAAAATAATAAACCAAACGCACCATTTGTGTCTTGGGTGTGGCGGAGCTAAAGTAGCAGTGTCAAATCAGCTGTCACGTTTGAGGTTGTAAGAAAAGTTTGTGAGATTATATTATGGACGTAGTATTATTTTTATCATTATATATGAGTAACAACTTCAAATATCGATTACAATTAATGATGGTATTCTTTACATGGTATAAATCATTATATGGAGGGACTTTTAGAGGTGGTATAAATTCATTGGAGGGTAGTATACATGATATGGAACATGGGATACCTCTATTGTATTCTAGATTTTTTCTAGATGTGAATTAGATTAGCATGAATGCTTTCAAAAAGAAAGGTACTCGTAGGCGAGGACACCGTGGACGCCAGTGCCACCAAGCTAGCTCAAGGCAATTGCTACCTTGATTTTATAATTGAGTAAATGAAATGACACTTTCCTATCCAAAAAGTTTCAAAATACTACTGTCCTACCCAAAGTTTATATTCCAACCAATCGTCGGTTGGTTTCGGCATCTTTGTGACCTCACACCACCATCATTCTATTCCACGATCATCACTCACCAAATTCTCTTAAACCTTGCTCTCACCAACCTCTTGAGTCACCAGAAATCGAGCAATTTGTGTAACGTTAAGCCGCCTCTCCTAAGTCAGATTTCGATCAATCTCAACAACCAAAATCTAACCTACCATCACCAAAAGACTCACTGACATCCCCTCTTCAAAAGTTGTAATAGTCTAGACTGACTTTTCTCTCTGTTGGCCATTGAATTGGAAAGTATATTATGGATAGTAAATGAAATATAAGCTTTGGGTGGGAAAGTGATATTTTGAAACGTTTTGGTTAGAAAAGTGTCATGAAGGCTAACCTAGGGTAGGAAAAAGTCGTTTACTCTTCATAATTTTCTACTCCACTTCACATTGTGTAGCCTAGGATTCTCAAGTGTTAGTGTGGAGAGGAGTTAAATATAAGATCCAATTTACACATGTCAATGGATTATTCAAATACAAGAGTTATAATCATTTCAAGCCCTTAACGTCAAATTCAATCAGCTTCTCCTAATTTATTGCCCATGCATTAATTCGGTAGTTTGCATTGAAATGCAGACACTGATGGCAGTGCCATGGTTTTTCAAGCATTCACATTTCAAAGACGCCCAAGAGCTGTCAAAAGTTAAAAGACTGGTCAGAATTTTGAAGTGGGCCACCATGTTTCACATTACATTTACGTCTAAAATCTGTTGGAATATGTAATATAGTATCATGGTAACCATGTTCGCACATGCTCAAGTCAATGTACAGTTGTACACTGCGCTCAGAGTCATAAAGTTCCGTTCCAATGGGGCAAAGCAAACACAAAACAATGGGCCATCTATATATAGTTGACTGGTTTTTAAGTTAATATTTTTTATACGGTAAAATTAAGATTAAGGGGTAATGTTATGACCATATTTTTTTTCACAAACTTCTCTTATAATTTTGATATGATAGCTGAGTTGGTGTTATCACGTCAAAATGATTTTGACGTGAAAAAAAAAAAACAGTCACTCCTTATAAAAGAATATTTGTTTTTCATATAAAGAATGATCGTTCCTTATGAAGGAATAACCAAGGGAATGACTGTTCATAAATAAGGAACAATCATTTTTAATGATCATTTATAATAAAAAATAGTCATATGGAATGACTGTTCCTTAAGGAACAATCATTTCTTCTTAAAGAATAGTTATTTCTTATGAAGGAACGACTACTCCTTCATAAAGAAAGACCATTCATTTTTAGTAGTGTTTTTGATGTCTTAGGTGTAATAGGAGTTGATGTGACAATGTCAATCTACTGTGACAGTTATGATTATAAGAGAAGATTGTGAATTGAGTTGTAAAAGTAATATTTTTCCTTAGAAATGAATAGTTACATACTTTTCCTACTCTCACAGGCTTTCCAAATGAGCCCACAAAAATTGAAGTGAGAAAACTTGAAACTAGTGAATTTCACATGATAATAACGGAAATCATGAGATTAATTTATTTATATGATGCTGTATTTTAACGTTTAAACCATATTAAACAAGTAGAAGAAGCTTCCAAAGCCAAGAAGCACGCACGAAAGTTCCCACGATAGTGAAAGATTTGGTTTGGATTGTTAATCCAATTTGACATTGATTTGAAAAGAAAAGAATTACAGCCAACCAATCATAAGGTTTGTGGAAATAAAATATCACAAATTATGCTATTCAAATCATCTAAAGTACATTACAGATATTCTTTCTCGCCATTAATTATGACCCACACAATAAATCATCTATAGAAGTTACAGAAAATGGAACCTGTGATTAAAGAGGATGTCTTTCTTCAAAAATAAAGCTCACTGCCATGAAACATCAAACCCTGCGTACAAGAGAAGATATATACAATAAGTGAAAGAAAAATCACCATCCTTCTCTTTCCATGAAGAAAAACGAATTAAAGAACTTTATATGATAACTGATTAACAAGATATCTCTTTGACCGAGAGCAGTTATGATTATAAGCATGACTAGAAGAGAGAGTAAAATGGTAATTAGAAAATTACTGCTGGAATTCTATATTGATGGAATTAGCGGTGGAAGAGGAGTTGGTTATGGCGGCAAAGGCCGTCTGCGATAAAAGAATGGTGGTGCCAGAACTAGAAGGTGTAGAGGCAGATTGAAGAGCATATTCAACAATCTTGATTTGGATGGTGAGGCCAAGTAAACAAGTGTTAGGCTCCGTGGCGCTTATGCATCTTACCAAGTATTGTCTCCCACATGATGCACCATTGTCCCATATTCCATCTCCGGCTGCTCCAAACAAATTGCTTGATGGAAACTGGGTTTGGTCGTCTCCATAACACGTTGTAGCTGTATATGTATGTATCAAAGTTAAATTAGCAAGAAGGCAAAAGGTGTTGAATTTTATGAAATGCGTTATGTAATATGTATATACTTACGTATATATGGGGGAGTATACCAGGCAGCCGTTCCAACATCCGCATAAGAGATATAAGTAAAAAGCTGTAACGATAAAATCAGGAGGATGGCGATAAAGAATGGCTGTGTCCTCAACATTTTTGCAACAACAAGAGATTTCAAAGAATAAGCTCTCTTTTGCCAATTATCTCCATATTCAGGAGACAATTTTTTTCGTCCCTATAGTTTCCGTTCTCTCATATTAGTCCTTCTCATTTCAATTTACTATTGTTTTAGTCATTTGACTTAATAATAGGTTAGTTGACTATTAAATTTACACAGAGATGATAAAAATGCTCTCTTTGATTTTCATTTCAATGTAAATGTAATAGTCAACTAACATTTTATTAAGTAAAGAGATTAAAACTTAGTAATTTGGAACAAGGACCAAAGTTAAAATATTTGAAATAATTGGACTAAAAGGAAAAAACTGAAACCACCGGGGCGAAGACTTACTATTCAGAGTCAACACTTAACGTAGAGTTTTAAAAGTTGTTTAAATTTGTTTTTTTTCTTTTTTAAAAGAAGAGACGGCTTGACAAGTCAATAAGCCAAGTAGCCAACTCAAAACGCGGGTTGAGCCGCGAGAAATCAATTATCGGAGAACGGTATTTTCCCACGTTTGGCCAAACGACATTTTCTCACCCTTTAAGTTTTAAAATGATTATTTTTCATCATTCGTTAGGTTTTGTTATGTTTTTCATTAATATTTTATTGAAAAGATAAAAAAACTCTTAAATATTTGATTTTATAAAATTTTTATTATTTTTTAATTAACCAAAAAGTTAAAAAATAAAAAATAATTAACCCCACCTAAAAAGTTAGAAGTAATGCTATAAAATTATTTAAAGTTAAAAGACCTTAATATTTATTTATTTATTGATAATGTCATCAATATCTCATCACTATTATTCAATAATCTACTAAATTTATAATATTTTTTATTTTTACTAATTAACATAGAAAATCAATATTCGTAATTAATTAAATAAATAAAAGAAAAAATGTATCTTTACACATAAACTAATGAATAATTGAGTAAGACTTTGACTTAACTAAATTTTAATTTATAATAAACTATTTAATGGTATTTTCATCTTTTCAATCAAATATTAACAGAACCTGATGAATAGTGTGAAAGTGTTATTTTGAAACTTGACGGATGGGAAAGAGTCGTTTGGCCAAACCTTGGGTGGAAAAATGCCGTTCTCCCTATTGACAGTTGATTTCTCGCGGCTCAACTGGCCAAACCTTGGGTGGGAAAATGTCGCTCTCCCATATCGTTATCTTAATATCACCTTCAATGCTGAACCGTAGAGGGTGCAAGTTGTAACCTCCTATCTTTCAATGTTTTTCGGGCGATAAAAAAAACCGATTTGATGTCAACCACATATATTTGCAGTGGATGAGCCAACATATAGGGAAGAGATTAGATTAAAGAGCTGGTTCCTTTGAAAATTCAAAAATCAAAACCATATATAATGGGGGTATCTTTGTCACTAACGTGGACTGCTGACCCAATCATTAATATTCTGCGCCTAATTACAAAAAACAACTGGACACAATTCCTCCTCAGAAGAGTTGCTATTACACCTAACTGGAAGGAATTGATTTCTGTGGTGTTGTTTGTAGTTTCTACTTTCTACCGCTACTGGAAGTCTGGAACTTAGCTTGACAAAGAGCAACTTTCTGATTAAAAGGTGGCGTCTAGGTGTAGAAATCCAATGAATTTTAATATAGGTAATAAATCTCACCATTAAAACAAAAGCACCTTTACTGATTTCTATCTCTAAATTTTTTTCAAATCGTAGATGAGCTACTTTAGTTGCAGTTAGGTTCTCAAATAAAATTTAGTAATTCAAAGAAGCTAACGTGACAACTGATAATAAGGCACGTATTCCTTTTCAGCTAAAATCCGTACCCATCCTCAATTGAGTTGACTTGGGCCAAGTTTACTAATAATTTTCTATCCATCCGTCACACAATGACAACACACTTGCAGGCATGTCAACAGTTTCTGCCATAAAAAAAACATATATGTATGAAAAAGACTATGGCTATGGCTCTGGCTTATAAACAGATTCAGGGTCGTTAATACTACTACTGGAAGTCCGGCCAATAATAAAAGTCTTAATATCTGATTGTCAACTCAGATGCCCACAACAACCTGCATATGCCTAGTAATAAACAATATATTCGGCCGTTAATGAAATGTCTATTTTTCTTTCTTCTTTCTTATGAATAAACAAATACAACTCAAGTAACTACTTCATACAAGAAAAAGATGGCATTTTTTTGGGCCCCTCAGATAGCAAATCTGAAAAATGGTAACCTTGTTCACAAACAGCCAGGCAAATAGTCCGTCCAGCATATATTCGAAGACAAGCAGCGTAGCAGTAATTGAATGTTTGCTAAAACAACCAAGTAGATAACACAGAAGAGAAATTATTTCCACAACTTCCGCAATGACATGTTTTTCTCAGTCTCCTTCTTCATCACCTTGGCAACTGCCATCTCAAAATCTTCCTGTGTTACATGTACCCTCCTCTCCCTTAGGGCAAACATCCCAGCTTCAGTGCACACCGCCTGAATAAACAGAGAAAACAGTGGATAAAACAAGCTATATATAAACATTCTTTGACATTTCAGTTTTATAATTATCAGACCGAGTACTCAATAAGTGACAGTATTTATTTGAGTTTATTTGTTATTAAAGCAGTGCTTGTGTTTTGAGTAATAGTGGTGAAGCTATAGTGCAAAATTCTCTAGACACAAACAAGTTGCAATTTGCTAGATGTCAATATCATAAGAAGCATGAAGCACCAGCATATGCAGCTGCAGCAACCAACATCCAAAATAATCAATTAATGATAATAAAACTAGGCATCCATCTCACTCATCAGTCAGCCATATGGCCTTCAATTGGGTGAGTCAGACACATTCACACAACACCAGAAGTTGTTAAATAAACCTTGTAGCCTGGTTTGGAATTTCTCCTCACTTAAATATTGCATAAGCCACTCCAACCATAATCAATATCCAGTAGCCTGGTTGTGTATGGGTTTATATGCAGACATGGACTGGGTCCATATGCATCATGACTCTACTAAGAATTTCGTGGAGCCAATATGTATTGAAGTGGTAGCAGCAAAATCAACTAGAGGGGATTGTTTACAACTATAGGTAAGTAACCAAACTCACCATGAAGATAATAAATGATACCTACACAAATTTTTAGTATTACAAAATTGTTTTGATAGAATGTTACATCTACGAGTCAGTCAACTAGTTCTAAAAGTTTTGATTAGTCAATAAAATGACCCGCCAACTGCAAACTGAAAAGTATGAGTTCACATCTTCAATCTTAAATGAACAAGATAGTCTTCAAATGCCAATGTCACTTTTGAGTTTAATTTATCTTTCAAAGGGATTTATGAGAAAATAAAGATGTTAGTAACAATTTGGCGCATAAATGGAAAGCATTGATGATTTTAAAAATTCCAAGATTCAGTCTTGCAGAAGTACTAAGGTTTTTTTNCGTTATCTTAATATCACCTTCAATGCTGAACCGTAGAGGGTGCAAGTTGTAACCTCTGATCTTTCAATGTTTTTCGGGCGATAAAAAAAACCGATTTGATGTCAACCACATATATTTGCAGTGGATGAGCCAACATATGGGGACGAGATTAGATTAAAGAGCTGGTTCCTTTGAAAATTCAAAAATCAAAACCATATATAATGGGGGTATCTTTGTCACTCACGTGGACTGCTGACCCAATCATTAATATTCTGCGCCTAATTACAAAAAACAACTGGACACAATTCCTCCTCAGAAGAGTTGCTATTACACCTAACTGGAAGGAATTGATTTCTGTGGTGTTGTTTGTAGTTTCTACTTTCTACCGCTACTGGAAGTCTGGAACTTAGCTTGACAAAGAGCAACTTTCTGATTAAAAGGTGGCGTCTAGGTGTAGAAATCCAATGAATTTTAATATAGGTAATAAATCTCACCATTAAAACAAAAGCACCTTTACTGATTTCTATCTCTAAATTTTTTTCAAATCGTAGATGAGCTACTTTAGTTGCAGTTAGGTTCTCAAATAAAATTTAGTAATTCAAAGAAGCTAACGTGACAACTGATAATAAGGCACGTATTCCTTTTCAGCTAAAATCCGTACCCATCCTCAATTGAGTTGACTTGGGCCAAGTTTACTAATAATTTTCTATCCATCCGTCACACAATGACAACACACTTGCAGGCATGTCAACAGTTTCTGCCATAAAAAAAACATATATGTATGAAAAAGACTATGGCTATGGCTCTGGCTTATAAACAGATTCAGGGTCGTTAATACTACTACTGGAAGTCCGGCCAATAATAAAAGTCTTAATATCTGATTGTCAACTCAGATGCCCACAACAACCTGCATATGCCTAGTAATAAACAATATATTCGGCCGTTAATGAAATGTCTATTTTTCTTTCTTCTTTCTTATGAATAAACAAATACAACTCAAGTAACTACTTCATACAAGAAAAAGATGGCATTTTTTTGGGCCCCTCAGATAGCAAATCTGAAAAATGGTAACCTTGTTCACAAACAGCCAGGCAAATAGTCCGTCCAGCATATATTCGAAGACAAGCAGCGTAGCAGTAATTGAATGTTTGCTAAAACAACCAAGTAGATAACACAGAAGAGAAATTATTTCCACAACTTCCGCAATGACATGTTTTTCTCAGTCTCCTTCTTCATCACCTTGGCAACTGCCATCTCAAAATCTTCCTGTGTTACATGTACCCTCCTCTCCCTTAGGGCAAACATCCCAGCTTCAGTGCACACCGCCTGAATAAACAGAGAAAACAGTGGATAAAACAAGCTATATATAAACATTCTTTGACATTTCAGTTTTATAATTATCAGACCGAGTACTCAATAAGTGACAGTATTTATTTGAGTTTATTTGTTATTAAAGCAGTGCTTGTGTTTTGAGTAATAGTGGTGAAGCTATAGTGCAAAATTCTCTAGACACAAACAAGTTGCAATTTGCTAGATGTCAATATCATAAGAAGCAGGAAGCACCAGCATATGCAGCTGCAGCAACCAACATCCAAAATAATCAATTAATGATAATAAA